AACTGCAATGGTACAATAAGTACTAAGTGCTACAAAATCTATATTTACAATGAAGATGACTACCACTAGGTTTATATTGAGAGGAAAGTAAGGAAAAGAACTTTTCAAAATTTATACTTTTCATTTCCTTTTTGTAGTCAGTTGGAACTTTTTGATTAGATTACTGCATTTTTCCAGACTTCAATATGAAAGCCCAAGGACTGACTGTAGGATTTAGCCACATTATTATCAACCGAACACCCAGAAGGTACCAGGCATTGTTATCAGGCACGGAGTTATAATATATACAGCATAGTCTCCTCAGAATTAAATGAAGAGGGGGCTGGCAGGTGACATGGTGGGTAAAGGTGCTGGATTCTCACATGGTTTACTGCAGTTCTAGTCCCGAACCTGGTGGTCTGCTTTCTCGCTTTCCCTTTATTTCTCTCTCTCTCTCTCTCTCACTGGTCAAATTAAAAAATAACAATAACAATGGAATTAAATAGATAAATCATTCTAAGAAAGGAATTAAATGAAGAGACCTTTACAAGGGTAACAATTAACTTGCAAGACAAGAAATTCAAAATTTTTTATTAAAAGGTTCCTCCTCTCCAGCTTTTACATCAATAATCTAAGCACTCTCTTCTCTAAACTTTTAATTCACAAGAAGATCTCTACCACTATTGTCATTGGAGAAGTATCTGTTTTGGCAATTTTAAGTTTTTGGAATGCTCCTCTTCATGGCAATGGCAATATAGAAAGATAATCATTCCAAGTATTGGTTTTATGATGGGTTTCCAAGTTTAGAAGGAAGATATAGGGAAATTCCATAACAGCACTTTGTGTTCTTTGTCTGGTGCAAAAAAAAAAAAAAAAAGGAAAAAGAAAAAGAAAACTTATCTCTTTCATCTATATCTGGCGAACATATCCATTCAGATGCTGCAAACCAATTATTAATGTGACCATAAAATTATCAGCCAAACTCTACAGCTTGGAAGCTCCAAGGACAATTAGATGGATTATCAAAGCAATAAGCACAATGGATTACATAGTTTTAAGCCCTCTTTTGAGAACACCCTTGTGCTTAATAAAATTTTAGCAGGCATATACACTGATTGACATTAGCTGCTGGTAGCAGCCTGTGAATTAACAACATGACAGGTCAACTCTTTAAACTCTATTCACAAATTAATCTCTTGCTGACTTTTATGCACTTCGAACACTAGATTGCTTTAAACAAAAGAAAGGTCCTAAACAAAACCTTAGAAACATACTGGAGGGTCTAAGAACGATTCATAGTAATGAAGTCCTGAAAATCCTTATCAGACATGGTAGAACTAAGACTGACCACGAGTCAATGTCAAGAGGGAATGTTTTTGTGTCATTTATTCAACTATCCACAAGAAAATCTCTATATTGGATTTTCATTCCATTTAAAATAATGTCCAAAGAACTTCCCATTGTACATGGTCTGCCCTCATTTCCCTCCATTTCCACTTCCTCCATCTGTTCTAGCCACACTGGCCTTTTTTTCCTGTCCTGCAAACTTGCCAACATCATTCCTACTACAAGATGTTAACATGTGATAGTCCTTCTGCTTGCCAACAGATTACCAGATGACTGCCTGCTTTTTTTTGTCATCATTCAGGTCCCATATCAAATGCTACTTCCTTGGAGTTGCAGCCAAAGCCACTCACCAGTATAAAAAATGATCTAGCCACTCATTCATAAATCCACTCACATATTTATGTGTTTCCCATTTGTGTCTCATTCTTCAGGACCCTTCATGAGAACAAGGACTTTCTTATTTGCAGATGCCCCCTTGTTAGCCAAAATAATGCCTGAGATTTTGTAGAAAATATCTATTTGTGGGACCAGCAGATGGCGTAATTGTTGGACTCCCATATTGTTTGCCATGGTTTGAGTCCTGGCCCCGATGGTTTAAAAACTCATGGCAGGTGCTTGTGTGTGCATGCCCAAAATTCCAAAAGGAGAATGGAGAAGGGATTGCAGCATGGCTTTCCCCCTCCAGAGGATGATTTCTCTCTTTCTCTCTCTCTGTCTCTCTGGCAAGCAGACATGCCCTATAGAAAAAAAAAAGAGAGAGAGAGAGAGAGAGAGAAAGAGAGAAAGAAAGAAAGGAAATGAAAATAACTACTTACTGACTGACTATAATGATGGAAATGTGTGCTTCTTACAAGGTGATTGAAAAGCATTTTCCTACTGAAGAACTCTAAGGTCCTAGAAGAGAGTCCTTTGCATTTCAGGAGCCTAAAGCCTTTGTCCTGTCATTGCCAGGTTCACTGACTATCCCAAGCTGCCAATTACATGTAGTGCAGAACACCAGTCCCAAGATACAAGCAATATGACAAGGAGCATTAGAAGCCTGGGGTCTAAGAATAATGAGATCCTGGACCTGAAGTGTTACTGTAGTCTCCTCTGTGAAATGAGGATAGCATAATTAATTGGACGACCCAAGGCTCTAATGTAAGTGAGACACTTGGAAATGCTAAAATACTGGAAAAGGAAGGGGTACAGTGTTAATGAGGCTTGAAAGAGATCTGTCCCGAAGTCTAGGGCAGGAAGGTTCTAAGAACTTGAAATTCACACTTTACTTGGAGCCCAGAAAGATAGAGTAACTCAGATAATGGTTAAGAAATTCCTGGATTTAGCCTACTTTAAGAACTTAAATTTTGGATGAGACTACTACACAGAGAAAACCATTTGCTCTCTATCTCCTGACTGCGAGCTCATACACACCAGTATAGTACAATCATAGAATGGCACCCTGCCTGCAATCCAGCCCAACACTTTGATAACACATTCAGCATGGAATATGTCATTGCTTAGGCTTGGGCTCAAGTATTTCACTTATTTCAGCATACAAAATGGATGGAGAAAGGCACTGTGTATATTTAAGTCACAGAAGAACAGAGAAGGTTAATGCCATAGAGAGGATGCTGGTGTGGGTTGATTCAATCTGGAGCCAGGTTAAGAACAGAAGAATGCATTTTTGGCACTTGGTGTCAAGAGGAAAGGGCTAAGGATAAACAATTTGATGTCTGGCGAGGAACGAGGCTGTAAGACTACATTGCTATTCATTTATCCTCTCTCCTAATACCAATGAAAGGATAAAAAGACTAAATGTGGGTATTCAACGGTGCTCAGTGTGACAAGACAGGTGCAGCCATTCTTTGATTCCAATCTAGGTTCAAATATAATGAATCACATAATATGTTTGGTAACACTTTGAGGCAGAATATGGTCACCTGATTAACAAATAACTGCATAGAACTCAAAGGTCATGTCCAAGTGTACCAAAGCCCACTGAGACAATCTCATCACTGAGCGGACAATCCTTTTGTCAAATGTTTATGGAACGCAAAATATAATGAGGAAAACAAAAAGTTATTTTCAATTTAGAATCCATGATGCATACAAGAGAAGTTTACATAGCAAAAGTGGTAGAAATATTGACTACTAGTGTTGACAGAACACCTTGTGCACACTGTTCCTCTGTTAAGTGACTCTATACATGTAAATTTGCCCCCAAAGTGTTTTTAAGCCAATTCAGATGGACTCTTTTCTCCTACTACAGATTTAACACATTTAGGTTATCATGTTTGTGAATGGGTACAAAATAGTATGCGGAAAATACATGCTTGCATGTCAAAAATATCAGGGAGAAAAGGCCAACCAAGTAGTTACGAGAAACTGTGAAAGCACAGGCATCCCTGTACTAGTTTCTTGGGGGTGATAAGGCCAAGAGATATTCAAGGCAACTCCAACCTAGTTAAGAAGATCTTTCTCATCAAATCGTTCAATTTATACAACCTGTGACAATATACTCCAAGGTGATTTTATTTATCAGTATGGAGAAGGAGAGTCAGTAACTCCCCCAATTCCTAAAACTTGTCTGGTCACACAGGGCTGACAAAACTCATCAGAGGAAATAGCCAGGAAAAGTAAATCAGAGGTCACAACAATGGCAGTCTAATAATGTATGACAAGGGCCAGCAAGCTTTTTCTCTGAAGAACCAGAAAGTAAATACTCTGGGATTTATAGACCAAGAACAAAACTGGGGATACTGTATAGGCTTACAAAGATGTTCACAATTTTTTTTTATTGTCAAAATTTAAAGTTTCACTTATGAACAATGAAATTTGAACTTCAGGTCCTTTCCATGTGTCACAAGTATTACACTTTCAGTTTTCAAGCATTTAAAACTGTAGAATCCAGGGTTAGCAGGTGGTGTGGTGCTTAAGGTGCTGGACTCCCACAGGCCAATCATGATTCAAGTCTCAGACCTGGTGGCTTGGAAATCACGCCAGGCACATGTGCATGCATGCCCATGTGTGTGCATGTCCAAAATCCCAGGAGGAGAATGGAATCTCAGGTAGGGACTGTGGCATGACCATTTCCCTTGGGGATGATTTCTCACTTTCCCTCTCATTGTCTCTCTCCAGTGAGCGCACGCACTCTGTGACAAAAGCCTTAAAAAACAAAACTGTAGAATCCATTCTTAGCTTACAGAACAAAATCAATCATCAGGCAGGATTTGGGCCACACATAGTTTGCCAAACTCTATCAGGACAGGAAGTGGTAGGGCAAAAACAAGCCATCAAGTCTGTGTGTGTGTGTGTGTGTGTGTATATATATATATATATATATATACACATTTAAAATCTGTGGTTGGTTTTCCCTCAAACTTTCTTTAAAACACTATAAATATAAAGCTGCACTGAAACATCCCAAATTCCCTCTGCTTATAACAAAATTAGATTATTTACTTCATCCAGCAGCTTATGTTCACATTCTAAATTTAATTTAAATATCATCTTAGCTGTAGATATTACATTGGTTGTGTAGAGACAGGAGCAAAATGGGAAACACACATTAATCAATTTTCATTACCATGACGAACTTGGCATTGGGAAAGCATCTGATTTGAGGCATCTGCTCTATAAAGCCAGCAACTCCCAACCACCACTTGTAATGCTCTCCTGTTCTTATCTTGTAGGCTTTCATATCGGACGGGGCAAGACACAGCTAATTGTGATACATGCAGGAACAGTGCATGCATTATCTATAGGTATGTTAACGTTCTCCTCTTCCCACTTTTTTATTATGAGTGACAAATGATGTTTACCCACAAATGCAAAACAACATCTGGGGCCATGCTGGGATGATTCTATCAGACAAAAAGTAGAGGGCCTCACCTGACCATAATTCTAAGCTATCTTGAAATACTCTACCCCAGGTATATAATTATGGGATGAGGGAGAGCTTGAACCCATTTATCTTGCAAATGCATCCTAGTGGTTTCAAGAATTGGTATAAGTTTGATGGCTTGCTCCCTTGGAATCGATAGCCATGAGCACTGTGCTGTGTGTTCTGGAAAGGCTATAAAATATAAGCCCTTCAGATGGTATAGATCAAAGGCTTGAAACCTCACTGTATGTGCTAGGAATATCAGGGAAGAACCCGAGCTGCTCACACCAAATGTGCAATTTATTTCCTGAAAACTCATAGAGATTGTGGCACTCATATCCCTAGGTGCAGAATCCCCTCTCTAGAGCCTCTACAGCTGTTCTTTGGTTTTTTTATACTTTATTTATATTACTGACATCAACAGTACAACAGAAACTTACGAAAGGCAGAAGTTATCAGCTTTCAGCAATCTTTTGGATTCAGACACAGTCAAAACCATCAGGGGGATTATCTTCTTTTTATTTTGGAAACGTAATTTTCACAAACAAAATATGAAGGCAGTGAGAGATGTTACGATATGGCTTGTGTTTAAAAAGTAAGACTAAAGAGTGATTAGTGATTAGTGATAAGCCAAGTTATCAAAAAAAAAGATAACTGAATAATTACGTATCCAAAAATGTGTACACACCACCTCCCTCCTACATTCCCTAAAGACTTTCAAAGTTACCATCCTCTTCACTGACAAGACTAACATGGGGAAAGCAAAAAAGCTTGAAGTTGCACAACCTTGGACCCAGCAGGTTCCTCTCCCAAGAGAAAGCATGGATAAGGGTATGCATGTCTCCAGATCCATCATAGCATCCCAGCCAGGCTCAGGTTCTTTAAAAGCAGAGCTGGGTCATCTGGAGACCTTGCCTGGGAGCAGGCAGAAGAAATCATAAGGCAGGGATGAACATCAGACATCATATTAGCACATTTTTTTACTGCAAATGTTTTCAGTAAGGGTAATTTTGCTTCCAAGGGACATTTGACAAAGTCTGGAGGGAGACATTTTCAGTTGTCACACGTGGGGATGAGCTATTGGAATCTACCAGATAGAAGACAGGGATGCCACTGGCAGTCTATGCTGCATAGGACAGTCTCCACAGCAAAGAGTTACCGGTCTAAAATGTCAAGTGCTAGAGTTGAAAAAGCCTACCTTGTTGGAACCAGCCCCACATTGAAGTTTTATAAAAGGCAAGTACAATTTCTAAGACCTCCTGGCAGTAGGCAGGGAGCCAGGACCTCTATAGCAGACCTGGCCCAGCATGCTAAGTACTGCCAATGAGGATGTTAACATCTAGTGTCCAGCAATTTTTTTTTCTTCAAATACTGCTCCACATTACAAGCTGGAGAAACTTTTCAGAAAAGTATGGTTAGTGAAAACCTTTTCACAATATTCATATTGTAGAAAAGAATTTTGAATCAACAGTGAAAGGATGTAACTATAACATAAACTAGCCCTTCACTAACATCAGTAAATTAGGAAAATAAATGAAGAATGTAGACAGATCATCCAATGTGTCCCCAGAGTTTAGCTTTTGTTACTTTGGGAACTAAAGCACATTCAGTCTTTCAGTGCAGCAAAGATTTCCAGAGAAGGTTCAGAAAATGAGCTTGTTCAGCTTAAACTTATTTAACATTTTGTGGATGATTGAAAAAAAGAATTTATTAGGACACTGTTCAACAGAACTGAAATAATTTAAATAAATTTAGCTCTAAATACAAAACTAACATTCAGGAATAGTGATATTTAAAGTGATTTTACAAGTCTGTGAAGGACAGAAATTTCTCTTTTCAGAAATGGTTACTTTCAGGAGTGATTACTATCTTGAACTGGTCCAACCAGCATTCGGTGGGAACCCCAATACATCACCCACTAGTCCACTTTCCAAAAGAACATTGAGTATCTAAGCACCACAGGAATTTGGTAAAATTTAAGAAGACTCAGCAGGCACTGGGATTGAGGCATTATGGTCATTTTGGTTATCTTGTATGAGATGGAAAAATGTACATCTACTCACAGAGATCTTTTCACTGAAGACACAAATGATTGCACAGACTATTGATCCGGTGGTATACATCTCAGAAACTGAAAGAGATGAGGCTGTCTACAGTCCTCCAAACCCTACTGTCAGCCCTATAAATGTGCAGAGCACCCTATAAGAGATGGTACTACAGGAAAAGTCAAGTTTTAGGTTTCTTTTTCATGAAAGCATTTAAAATCACATCCTTTCAGAGTAGCAACAAGAAAAAAAATCCCCACCACTCCCAAACTTCTGCTACCAACAGAAATTATTCTGTAAGGCTTATCAGGCAGTCCCAGGGAACACTGTGTAGAGTAACATTTCAGCTGGATGCCCGCTCCCCAAAGCCTTTATTTCACTGAGTCTTCCAACTAGTATTCAGATAAAAGATTTCACTGTTACTACCACATTAAACAGATACAGCTTAGCAAATTCTGCTTCTCAAATTTTCCACCACTTTATATTGGAAATAGTTAAACAATTACTCTTATAGTGGCTATTGATGTTGGACAAAAGTTTTCTAAAGTCTGTAGAAATAAGTGATAAGGCGTAGTGAAAACTCACTTCTGGCATTACCTAGTTTAAACACATTATTTTAATTTGAATCACAAAAATTGAAATCTTGAATTTATATAAAGTTATGTCAGTCTTTTGAGGTGAGGTCTCTGTTTTCTTCAAATACAGGCATCCTTGCTAGAGTTGCGTTATCTTCCATGGAACATACCAGTTTTCCATTCTTTAAGAATCATAAAGGGATCTGATTTCAGAATCCTTCTGGCTACATACTTGATTTACTCCTGCTTTTTCCCCACCCAATATTTTGTACTCTTCCCTTTCTAAGGAATCTAATCACAAAAATAATTTTCTCTTGCCTCCCTGGCCTGTGGAAGATTCAATAAGTAAATCATTTCAATAATGAAGAAGCATAAAAAGTCCAGGTATAAACACGTCATCCTGGTAAGCAAGCAGCTCAGTTAATAAGAACAGAGGTCTAGGTCAATGAGAGAGAAGCTTATTGGTCAGGGAGTACCTTGTGTTGGTGTCAACTTTGTCATGGAAGGAAAGGGCAGTGGTGGTTATTGACCACATCAGCAAAGGGGCTTCTGTAATGCTGCCTGAATATCAAAGACTAATGAACTAGAGGAACTGGAAACTGAACTTGCTCTTAGAAGATTCAGGTCTGATTCTGCCTTGATGGCTAAGAAGTACTGATATAATAGGACAGAAATTTCTCTAAGGCTTCCCATTTACCAAAAAGAAAGTGCAGGGTGGAAATAAGGGGGAATTGAGCTAGCTTTCATGATTTATCAGCTCTTGGTAAACCCCTCTGATTCAGTCTTCAAATGTCAAATGCTTCTTTAAGAATAGAAGTGTCTTTGGTAGAAAAGGGTTCCGAGTCCAGTAAGTCCTTGGGCAGGAAGAATCACCTGTTTAGATGACCCTGTAGCCATACACATAGGAGACTATAGCATCTGAGAGGTATAGACCAAAAGAGAACAGAAGGAGTTTCCCAATTTCAAAGACTTTACTGATTTAAGTCCATTTCCTATCCTCACTGTGAAAAGTTGCATATAAGTCCTTCAGTCCCTGCATATGATTCTGTAGAGAGACAATCCCAGCACAAGATGAGAGTTGAGATCAAGGTTAGAATCTTTATTGTTGGGTCTTGGATACAAGGGCCTGGATCCTAGAGTTCAGGAACATTTCTGTGAATCTTGGCACCATCATCTCCACAACATTCCCTATCCTCCCTTTTGGATACCTGAAGTACCTTGGGACTAAGTAGGTTAACAGAGATTCAGTGTAAAGAATTCTTAAAATGCCACATGGATGGTTGCCACAGAGGCTGGAGAACACAAGGCTGAGGCCATCATAGCTGCCAGCGTCCACATGTCTCCATTTGTCATACCTGCTTGCTGGAAGGCCGAGAGCCCTGGAGGTCAATGAGTTTGACTCCGCCTATGTCTGCATTTAAACACTGCTTTTCACTGGAAATCCAATTACCACCTTCAAGCAGCATAACTATCCACTGTGTTTCCAGCAATGTCTGACCCAAGCAAGTGAAAAAGGCAGGGGAGGAGAAGGAGGGGTTACCATGTTCAAGACCTGGCTGCCTGTGGTTTTATAAACATAGTCCTGTAATAAATGTGTGCCTTTGCCATGGGTGGTGGTTCATATGTCTCTGTAAAAAATAATTCTGCCAAGGAAATATACAGGACTTGAACAAAACATCAAAAGGATAAAAGGTCTTGAAGCAATTTCAAGAATAAAAGCTGCCAGGACCATAAGCAAAAGGTTGCAAAAAATCAGCCAGCTTGAGCCTGCTGCTTAAACACTGGGCACCCCAGAAGTTAGGGGTGAGCTTCTTCTTAGGCATGCATCCCTTGAGCCTCAATCCTCTGTGATTGCACTAAGGGATCAGGAAGGTCCCTTCCAGCTCTTAAATCCCACAAACTGGTTATTTACAATTATGAAAGGAACAGATCTATGGATAAGCTTCAACAGAGAGGGTGGGTAAAGGAGGTAATAGTGTGGACATTGCTCAAAAGAAAAATGTCCGTTCAGTATTGGCAATCAATTTATGTAGAACCAAACAACATTTGTTTGGCATAGAATTGCTTCCCTTTCTCCCTACTCCACTGAAACCCAAGTACCAAAAAGTGATGTTCATGGTAACTGGACATTTTGAGACAGTTGACATAATTATACTTTTCTCTAAGATGGCATTCTTCTGATTGTGATCTGGGCCAATTGTGATATTCTAATTAAAGACCATCTCTGCATGAAAGATTAAAAGAGATTCAAGTTTCAGTTG